ACGTGGCCTGCTCTGCTGGTACTTCCTCGTCTCTCTCTCTCTCTCTCTCTCTCTCACACACACACACACACACACACACACACACGGAGGGAGGAAGAGGGAGGGAGGGAGGGAGGGAGGGAGAGAGGGAGAGAGATCTGGCCTGTTCTGCTGGTATTTCCCCCCCCCTCTCTCTCTCTCACACACACAGGGGGGAGAGAGAGGGAGGGAGAGAGGGAGAGAGAGAGACGTGGCCTGCTCTGCTGGTACTTCCTCGTCTCTCTCTCTCTCTCTCTCTCTCTCTCACACACACAGGGGGGAGAGGGAGGGAGGGAGAGAGGGAGAGAGAGAGACGTGGCCTGCTCTGCTGGTACTTCCTCGTCTCTCTCTCTCTCTCTCTCTCTCACACACACACACACACACACACGCACACACACGGAGGGAGGAAGAGGGAGGGAGGGAGGGAGGGAGGGAGAGAGGGAGAGAGAGAGACGTGGCCTGCTCTGCTGGTACTTCCTCGTCTCTCTCTCTCTCTCTCTCTCTCTCTCACACACACACACACACACACACGCACACACACGGAGGGAGGAAGAGGGAGGGAGGGAGGGAGGGAGGGAGAGAGAGAGAGAGAGACCCGGCCTGCTCTGCTGGTCCTTCCCCGCCTTGTCTGCAGAAACTCTTCGTTTAGCGCTGCCCGGGAGAACTTACCGTATCATTTCTAAGAATGATATTCGACACCTGGCCGCTCGCCCTCCAACCTAAACTGAAACTAATAGGTGATTAGGAAGGAGTCTGGAGGCCCCCAGGACGGACGGGTGAGACGGATGGATTTTCGGAAGGGTGAGATCAACCTTGCCCACCGCCTCCTTCTCCCTGTCGAGAAGAAAGACGAACGAAAGGCGGGTCCCGCAGACAGGCGCGCCTTGTGTGTGTGTGTGGGGGGGGGGTTTACTTTTAAAGGCAGTGGTAGAAAATATCTAAGGTCGGGGCTGGAGAGCTTAGGATCCTGAAAAAGGAAGGAAGGAAGGAAGGAAGGAAGGAAGGAAGGAAGGAAGGAAGGAACCAAATTTCCTGGTGAACGCCTGCCTGCTTGCCTGTCCTGAGGAATCTGCCCAGACTCCTTCCCAACCGTCTTGTCCAACAAGCGGAGCCTGGAGTCCCCTCACCCCGAGCCGAACTCACGCCCTCCCTCCGGATTCCTCTCGGGGCCAAGTTTTGGCATCACTGACCGGATTCCGCTCAGCCCCGGGCGCTGCGGGAAAGGCCAGGTCCCTGCCCCTCTCTTAACATCAGCCGCGCTTGTGAGCTGAAACTAACCCGGTGGAAGGGGCTATTAATCCCCGTTACCTTCTCCAGGAGCGAAAGGGTGCGCAGGAGTGGGACGTTCGCGAGGTGGCAGAAGTGCCCGCTTCCTCAAACGGGCGGGTCATCGCTTTCCAGACACAACGGAGGCCCAAACAGACCGACGTCGCCGCGTTTTGACTGGCGCGCGGAGAAAGCCGAGCCAGAGCAAACTCGAAACCCCCGGACAGCCGTGTGGGAGGGGCAGCGAGCGGCCGGTGTCAAAGGGACGCTTCGCCCTCTGTAAGGGGCGAAGGGGGATCCAGAGGCTGTGTTGGTTTGGGCCGGGTCTGTATCGCGGCGGGGAAGGAGAAAGGAAGGAAGGAAGGAAGGAAGGAAGGAAGGAAGGAAGGAAGGAAGGAAGGGTAAGGAAGGAAGGAAGGAAGGGTAAGGAAGGAAAGAAAGAGAGACAGAAAGAAAGAGGAAGGGAGGAAGGAAGGAAAGAAAGAAAGAAAGAAAGAAAGAAAGAAAGAGTAAGGAAGGAAAGAAAGACAGACAGAAAGAAAGAGGAAGGGAGGGCGGAAGGAAGGAAGGAAAGAAAGAGTAAGGAAGGAAAGAGAGACAGAGAAAGAAAGAGGAAGGGAGGGCAGAAGGACGAAAGGAAGGGGAGAAAGAAGGAAGGAAGGAAGGAAGAAAGAAAGAAAGAAAGAAAGAAAGAAAGAAAGAAAGAAAGAAAGAAAG